TGCAGGGAAATGAGGCAGTAATCACATGATGACTCATTTAGCAATGGAGTTGCAGGACCCAATTGTGATAATTGAGGATATATACCTGTATTTTAATGAGCTGAAGTAATTTAATGGGACTATCACGATAATTGTGTCATTTTTCAAGCTTGCATATAAGTCAGAAAACAAAGCAAAGCAAAGCAATGCAAAACAAAGCTATGATCATCTGAATTCCAATGTAATTCTTCCAAACTGTTTTCCAAGCATGCCCAGTCTTACAAGTACTACTGGATTTCACTCTGCGAGGGCAGAAATAAACTAATCACTAAGAAGGCAGCATGTGCTACATAACTTCTCTGGATTAGTATAATTTAAAAAAAAAATGCAGAAATTTTGCCTCAAAATAAATGAAGTTAACTTTTAAAATACATGCAATGTTTGACGTTTAATTTAAGCATAATTAAAATCAAAATCGGCACAAAGACATTGACAACTGGTCAAGGGCATGGGATGTTGCCACTCCCCTTATTTTTCTATTTTTTTCTTTGCAACCATAATGAAGCCTTGCTTACTAGTACATGTTACATTTACAAGGAGAAATTTCCACTGTATACTTGGCCAAAATTGAAAATACACAAGCTTCACTAAAGGATACCAATACTGTTGACAATAGAGATACTCATGACACATTGCATCCTCAAAAGACTGGGGAGTTTTTATTCGAAAGCTGTAGGCATGTTTCTGCAGAGCGTCATGGACCTTTTGCACGCTGCAGCCCCAATAGCATGAAAGGAGACAGTCTTCCAGGCAGTTAGACACCAGGGTAATGCCATCTTGAGGAAAATGAAAACAATGGTACAAATGTATAACAAAGAATTGTGCTACTCAAAGCTAAACAATGGAAACAAAGTATTATCTTTATACCATGCTACTATATAATGAATCTAATATTCGCCTAATCTGTCTTTCAAACTTCCATGCTCAACAGATTTTCCTCAAACAGTGAAAACCTAAAATTCCGAAACTGATCCATTATCTTTTTGAGGCCATGTAAGGTTATAAATATATTCAGATTAAAACTGTCAGTTCCAAATTGTGCTATTAATATGATGACCTAATTGTCATGTAAAGTTAACCAATGAAGCAGCTGCATACTTTCTGGTGATTCTCGGTAATGAGCTTATAGTGCTTCAGCTCCCACATCCACAAGGACAGAGAACCGTTATCCACAGATAAAGAATGTTTTCTTTCCCCCACAAACAGTGGCTCTTATTTCAGTTAAGTTTATAGTGCAAATCAAAACCTATAAGGGACAGAATTTTCCTTAAAAATACCTTTTCTATTTCCTTTTGCATGCTTATTGCATAAGGAGGGATAATAACAGAAGTGATGCACTTCATCCATTTCTGGTAAATAGAAATAGAAATGGAGGGAACAAGAGAAAACAGAAAATGTCAACAAATATTATATACAATATACTGACTTGAAGCTGAAGCGGTTTCTGGGTTTTTGATTTCTAAACTGAATGGATTTTTCACTTGCCGCATCTGTTTCTGAGACACTTTCACAATTGATTCAGTTTCTTCTGAATTCCTCAGAATCACAGGAACATCCCATCCAAACCTAAGAAGCACAAAGTGTTTGTAGTGGTAGAATTAAGAGTCCTGAAAAAACAGAGCATAACCCATTCTTCAGGGCAACTGAAAGCATAATGAAATAAAAGATTTGTATTAATGTCCAGGTCTGACTATTAAAGGAATAGTAACGTCTTCAAAGAAGATAACCTCCAAATTATGTTGCATTTCCTTTAAATTACCCTCTGTCAATTACATTTTCCTTACAACTTTTTTTTTTACACGGAAACCACTGTTATTTGCCTCCTCCCATTAAAAATATACAAGCAGAGCCATTTTTCAACTCCACCTAAGCATCACTCCTATCAAAGCCATTTCCCATCCCTATATGGTTTCTACAAAGCCCCATGCATTCCACGGTATCCAGACTTTAAATCTCTTGGATCTCTCCGATTATCTTGCTCAATTCCTCTCCATTTAAATGGCCTCTCTCATGAGATTCCTAATACTGTTTTCCTTTACAAGCATTTAAAGAGTGCCCATGCTTTCAACAGCATGGGCTGCATTAAATCCCACAGCAATCATTCCCAACCCAGATGTGCTGGACTTATTATATATAATATACTTATTATATATAAGTATATAATATACTTTTATATTAAAATTATATAGAATTATATCCTTAGAATTCTTGAGGAACGTATCTTTTCTTTTATGTACACTGAGAGCGTATGCACCAAGACAAATTCCTTGTGTGTCCAATCACACTTGGCCAATAAAATTCTATGGTTATGGTTATGGTTATGGTTATGGTTATGGTTATGGTTATATTAAAATTATTAAAAGTACACTTCATCCTACCAACACACATCCTATGGAAAATCTGACAGTGGGAATTCCTTGTCCATCGCAAGCGGAGGGTACCCGTTAAGAGGACAATCGCTTTTCTGCATACTTTCTGCATAAGGACCCAGATTGTTGGGGTCAACATGCTGACTCTGTAAACCGCTTAGAGCATTGTGAAGCGGTATATAAGTCTAAGTGCTATTGCTATACTCCACAGTGCAGAGATCTTCAAACTTGGCTGCTTTAAGACTTGTGGACTTCAACTCCCAGAATTCTCCAGCCAGCATAGCTGGCTGGAGAATTGTGGGAGTTGAAGTCCACAAGTCTTAAAGGGGCCAAGTATGAAGACCTCTCTGCTCCACACTCTTCCCCCCCCCCCCCCCCGCGCATCAAGACTCTCAGCCAATCTTCGCGGTTCGACTCCAGAAACCGCCGTCGCAAACCATTAACCACCCACTGCCTCCCCGCGATTTACCAGCCCATGATGAGGCCGCTGGTCACCAAGAAGCAGACGAAAACCAAGGCGATGTAGAAGAGCGGGGAGTACTCGTACAGCGTCACCAACAACGCAGCAGCCATCGGGTAACGAAGAGGAGAAAGGAGCGATGATGCTCCCGCTCCAAACCCCCACCGACCTTTTGTTGTCATCTAAGAGCGCATGCGCAAATTAAGCGCATGCCCGCCAAGAAATCGGGAAGCTGCATCTCCCGACCCGCCACTTCCTCCTCCTCTTGTTGTTATTATTATTATTGCAGATCATGTCGGTGAGAGCCTTTTGCAATCGTACTTTACCGGTTCTCTTCGTGGTACTGCAATTAATGCAGATGGCCTGCCGTATATTATATCACCCTTTCAACTCAGCTCTACTGTATACTATTATTAACACACTATTAGAATATACCATTTAAACGTTGTTTTGGTAGTATGCAGCCATACCCACACAGTTTTTTTTTTTAAATGTCAGGACATACAGGACTCGATGTCACTCTATTAGATTGAAGCACACCACCCTATAAAAACCATCACTCAAAACTATGGGCAACCTCCAGTTGTTGAATTCCAACTAAAGAAGGCTAATGGTGAGAGATGGTGGGAATTGCAGCTTCTGGATGTCCAAACCGTGTGGTGATCTTGAGACAAATATAAAAACATATTACTACTTCACTAGTAAAGGGTTTCATGCACGTTTAATTATTTTAAATGGATCCTTCCTCAAGTGGATTAAAATAAATAAGAATTAAAACAAGCATACATGTATAATCCCAGTTGTTTTTCTCTGCTAATGCTATTGCTATTTGTATTTTCGAACATTTGTATACATTTTGCAAATATTTGTCATAACTTGTATACTTATGTATTAAAATTATTAACAAAAACACACTTCATTTGCATCCCATTCATTCAATTTTGTGTTTTTTGCCAACAAAAAAATTCAATACACATTTACTGGACTTGAGCTCAGCTCTACATGACTTGCATCCAAGTAGATATCTAAAACCAGGACCCTTAATCTTAGGGTTTAAACCACTTTTTCAAAAGAGTGGTCGATCTAGGTTTCTATGCAGCCTGCATAACCTCTGACAAGATGATTAGTCATTAGCAGACAGATGCTCTGTGTCCAGTTTTTCTTGCATCCCAAAGCTTTCATTCCAGTCAAAAGTGCCCAGAGACTGTTGAGACAATTGGGATAGTATCAGAGTAGTAGTTTTCAGCTGTGATCACTTTAAGATGTGTGGACTTCAACTCCCAGAATTCCCCAGCCATTACATTGACTGGGGGATTCTGGGAATTGAAGTTCACACCAGCTGGGGAATTCTTGAAGCCCACACATCTTGAGAGTAACAAATTGATTATAATATAAAACCCAGTTGGGTATCCACCAGGATTATAATGCAAACCAGGCTAATAGGGATACAGTGCTGGCTGGGAGTGGCAGAAGATGTGGTCTAGTTCAGGGGTCTCCAACCTTGGCAACTTTAAGCCTTGGCAGACTTCAAGTCCCAAAATCCCCCAGCCAGCTGGCTGGGGGATTCTGGGAGTTGAAGTCTGCCAAGGCTTTTGCCAAGATTGGAGACACCTGGTTTAGTTCACCATGAAAACACCAGATTGGAGAAGGTTGGAACAAGCCTTTGTGAGAGGAGTCTCAATCTCACAAAGTGGTTAAGTCTTCAACAGCATACACCAAAGACGATTTCCTTGTTGTAACATGACTACTTTACTAGCCCTGATGATGTTACCTAGTTTGGGTAATGAAACGTCTGCAAGAAAACATTTTAAATGTTACATTTGAACTTTTAATATAAGACTTTACACGCCCAAAATGTAAGTAACTGTTATTTTTCGTTTAGGAGTAATCACATTATTTAATCTTGCTTAGCTTGGCTTTGTTTCGGTTTTAAAGGGGGCGGTAGCACGGCCTCATTTTTGGGGGGTGGGTGGGAGAAGAAAAACTCATTGGTTACCATGGCAACATTGCTTCCTGGTTAACTGAGAGGAGGGAGAGCGAAGCACTCTCCCTCGCCCCGCCCGGAATGATAGACTATGGGACGCTCTTTATCCTCCAGCCTCTCTAGGCGTGGGCGGGTGGATGGAGGCCCGGGTAGGGAGGGAAATAGGTAATGATCCCCACTTGAGACCAACTCGCCTCTTGCTCACCGTAGCTAGGGAAGGCCGCCGCCGGAGCCGAGCGATAAAATTGATTGGTTCAGGGAGTGCTCAGGCCATGCGCACTAAGCGGGCCTGGAACTGGATTGGGGCTTGAGGTGGGGAGGACCCTCCCGGGTTCTTAAAGGGCCAGCGCTTGGGAAGGAAGCTGCTGCAGCTACAAGATGGTAAGTTCACGAGACCTCTTGCCGTGGAATCGCGGTTCGGTTTTTTGTTTTATTTTTAGCGTTTGGGTCTTCATCTTTCTTTTTTTCCCGCCTTTCTTGCCATTATTTAAGCTCTAAAGAAATAGCCCCCTCCCAGCGATTGAATGGAGAATGAGATCCCCCGCCCCCCAAATCCAGCTAAATTGAATGCAGTGAGCTTGTTTTGTTACATATTGTGGCTTGTAAGCAACGTACGGGGTTCCCGAAAGCTTTGCCTAAATATTTGAAAAAGGCTTAAGGCGATGAAATTCCAATTACGGGGACGATCCACCAATTTTTGGTGGATTGATGCTCCTTTTTAATGAAATTATCTCCAATTTCCCCTCGCGTCGGAAGGAAAGTGGGGGGGCAGTTTAGAATTGCTACTCTCTGCCGCCTCTTCAAAGAAAAAAAAAATAATCAATTCTTCTTGCAAAGGTAGGACTAAATTGCAATTTTCTTTCCTTATCTTGCTGGGTCTCTTTTCTAGCACAAGCGCTCATTTTTATCCGTCTTTATAGTTTTCTTCCCCTCCTCCTCTCCCATCATCAAAATAAATGGCTAGGATTTTGGAGCCCAGCACATCTGGGAGACGCTGCCTAGGGGAAAACGGATACTTTTTCCTCTAGTCCAGTTTTTCCCAACCTCAACCTGGCTGGGAAATTCTGGGAATTGAAGGCTACACCTCTTTCTCTTGAGATTGAGAAATGCGCTCTAGCCTCCATACTGTTCATCTCATCAACCCTTTCATGAAGTTTCAGATTGTTCATTGTGTCTCAAGTATTTTAAAAATACTAGTATAACTACCGTAATAGTAATATGAATAGCAATAACAATAATGGATTGTCCTATTGAACCATGAGAGTTGGTATTGACCACTACAGTGTAACCTGCTCTAGGAAAAGCCCCTTGAAATATTTTAAATTCATGCTCACAGGGAAATATTTGCGGTAAATTTGCACTTGTCATTCTTTTTCATGATTTGATGGAAAAAGGAGACATGAATGGCTTAAATTCCAGGAATGATTTGAGGCACATTTGTAGTCCTGATAGTGCAGTTCGGCACCAAGCATTAAGTCTCATTGGGGAAAACGTCCATGGGATTCAACTTGAACTTTATCCTCTAATTAGGATCTGTTTCCTAAAAATTCCTGAAAGGAGAATTGTAACCCATGAGAATTGCTCTAGAGGTCTTGCAACTGACTGATTTGTGTTTATATGGGGGAAAATGGTAACTGATTTAAATAGGGTTTTCAGTATGTGTAACGCTAGAAGGAGTTGGCAAAATCTGATGTTATGGCACCTAAATGCTCCTTGTCAAGCAGGTGGCAGCAACTAGCCAACCTTGACTGATTATTTAGTTTTTGGATGAGAAATCATCTGAAAATCTCAGGATGTTAGACTGGAAAATAAAATAAAAAAACTGGAAGAAGGCAGTAGCAAACCATTTCTACATTGCTACCAAAAAATCCCAAATAAACTGATATGAATTGATGTCCATGAATTTACTAGGAGTTCACTCGAAGGAGGTTTTATTATTTTATTATTGCTCCTTATCTGTCCTGAGAAAGAATAATTTGAAGAGCTAATGTTTTTTTCTTACTTGTGTTAAACCAAACCTCTGAGTATACTTATTTTCATTTATAAAAGTAATGGTATTACTGCTTATTATTCTGGTCCAAAAAGTATGGCCATTTTCTATCTATAGCCAATGTTGACAGATAGAAATCATTTGTGTACATTGCAAGGAGAGATCGGTCTGAATGGCCTTGGGGCTCTTCATTGCCTTTCTCTTCAAATCCATTCCCTTGTGTTGTTGCAACTTCTAATTCCTAACTACAAATATTGCTTAATATTGAGGAATTTGACTTATCTCTTTGTGTGCTCAGAAGCTGTTGGTGAAACTTTAGCCTAATTGAAAAAAAACAAGACCTTTGTAATTCCAAGCTGTGTATTTGTGAGAGATTTTAAGACTTTGGTATGAAGAAATGCAGCACATGTCTTGTGTTTCTAAACCCATCAGATGTAGTCGGGATCTTCTTCCTGCCCCTAACTAGGAATTATGTGCTTTGAAGCAACTTTTCTTAGATGTTATGTTTCCTCAAAAATGCATGTTTAATGCATTATATATGCTTTGGAGGAATAGATGTAAGTTAAACAAAAAACAGTTCTTATCCAAAACGTTTTGCAATCTTTTGCAAAGGGAGAGGGGGGAAAAAGTCGATAAATTAATCTTCCTCCAATCCTGTGGTTTTTATACTGGCTCCTGCTATAGCACAGGACGGATACCTAATCTCTAAATAGAAAGATACAGAAGATGAAGACCTCTGAATCCATTTTATTCTTTTTCCTTGGCAACAAGATTGCGATACGCTGTTCTCATGCTCAAGGACTCCTTGCAGGCTCAGAACCTTCTGTTATAAGCAAATGGTTTTTTTTTTTGAAATACTTGGTTTGCACATCATAACAAATGCCTGAAAGTCAATCTGTTCGGGAAACTCATTTGTGGCTTTTCTGGCTTAATGTAATTGTGTGCAATTGTAACTGCCAGGATATATTTTCATACAGCATTTATACACCGTGAGTATTGTAAGCATACAGTAAAATGGATTGCAGGTTGGGTTTATGAGCAACAGTTTTTTTAAAAAAAGAAATGTAATATCATCTGTTCTGATTTATTTGTGTAATATAGAATAATTGAATATCTGTTTTGCATATTCTGGAGACAGAGAAGTTCCCTGATGATGAGCTTTAGTATGAGCCCAAAAGCTTGAAAGAATAAACCTTTGGTCCCCGTGACTGATTTGATTGGATCCTGCAACATTTTCCAGGGACACGTATATTTGCCTTCATTTGCAATATCTATTTTGAATAATTTTGCCATTTAGTCCCTGAATAAAAACATCTGAATCACTTTAGTGTCCTAGTCTAGCATCTAGTCCAGCATATTCATGTTGGACAACCAGGTGCAGGAGTCTTCTTCTTTTGAAACCAGGTGCTTATGAGAAATCCAAAGCTCAACATAAACACATGGACTAATGTTTTCTTAATGTTGAAAATCATGCTACCTTGGTAACTGGAAGCAATATATAGCAGTTGTGACTAATAACTACTGTTCTCCATAAATTGTCTTATTTCCTTTTATAATTGGTGCCTGTTGCTACATTTATAGAAATTTTGTAGCTTAATTACCCATTTTGTGAAAATGCATAGCTTTTTATATTGGACATGGGAATCTCCAATTTGTTTATTGCAGAGTGAAAAGAAACCTGGGTTTGCTTAGCTGTCTAACTTAGTAACACATGCATTAGTTATGTTGGATCAGAGAGACTTGAAGTGTTGGCCTCCTTCCTGAGGTGGCTCACCTTGCCTACTGCAATGCTAGATCTGTAAAGTCCACAAGTTGCTCTTGACTGGCTTCACCCTGTATTAAATCATGGTTTTTTTTAACCATACGTTTCTGACTAAACAGTCACTACAGACGCATTCTAGCCAAAACCAAAGTAACATTATGGCTATGTAAAACATGTGAATATATCCTAGAATTACTACTAGGTCTTGCAGAAGTAAATCACATTAAACTCAATAAGATGTATTTCCTCAGAACTGTATTTAGCACTGCTGCCCATATTGAACTCTGATAACAAGCTGTGTGTTGGGAGATGTTGCCATGCAGTACTGGGAATAGTCAATTGCAAGTATTATCTATATATGGAACACCCCCCCCCCATCAAAATAATAATAAGGCAGATCCAGAAGACATCATGGTCTGGAAGGCAACCTGAGAGAGACAAAATGGGAACGTTAGGGAATTGGAATCATGGACAATCAAGTGAGAATAGTTTTTATAATCATAGTAAGATTCATTTCAGCTGAATGTGAGGATAGTGCATTCTGTTGCATACTTTACAAGACAAGCAAATGAAGGATTTGAAGAAGGAAAGAAAAGTAGCAATGTAGAGATTTTTTTGATGGCAGAGAACGTAGGAAATGCCAAGTGGAATTATTTGAACAAGTTAGAAACCTTTCAACAGCAAGGATGATCGAAGAGATGGCCACAAGCAGGAAAGCGTTGGGATACCAGAACGAGCCAATTTGGTCTAGTTGTTAAGGCACCAGGCTAGGGAGCGGGAGGCTGTGAGTTCACACTTTAAAAAACCCCAAAATATTGCCCAGCAAGCTTGGAAGCATGGCCAAAGGCAAGGGATGCTGGAACTGTTAATTGAACACCACCTGAAGGACCTTGTGTTCTCCACCCTAGAGTGTAGGAATGGGCAAGGCCATCAAGGATTTTGAGGGATGAAAAGGATAAGTATCTTTCCTCTAGTTATACTGAATTCACACTGTATGCGTCCTCTGATTGCCTGAAGCTTGATTTCTTTGACAGTTAATGCAGGAAAATAAAGAAAGTGAAAGTGTGAATAGCCAGACATCCTCAACTCAGATCCTTCCAAGTAGGCTGGACTACAACAACCCTCAGTAAGCCTCCACTATATATGCCAAAAGGATTTGTTAATGAGGTCTTGAACTCTCTCAACATTCCAAATATAATGAACTAAACTTATCTGGAGGGTAGCAGACTAGGAAACTGCAACACTTGTCCTCATGGATATTGTACTACATTCTCGTGTGTTTTTTTTTCTCCAAAATACTTGCTATAGCTTTTCTCTAAATAAGATTTTGCCTGATTTTTTTTTTTTAAATATGCATTGCATCTCCAACAGTTGAGGATTGGAGTGATATCTATGGCTGGAATCAAGAGATCTTTTGTTCATCTGTGCCTTTTCTCTTTCACTCCCCACCCCTCTTCTCTTTAGAGTGAATCCCTGGTGGTTTGTGATGTTGCTGAAGACCTTATAGAGAAGCTGAGAAAATTTCGTTTTCGTAAAGACACGAACAATGCAGCCATTATCAGTAAGCTGAAAGGGAGGGCTCACAACGCTCATAAAGGGGAATAATACAGACTCATGTTCTCTCCTCTGGCGGAAATTAACTTGGATTTTTGTTTCTGAATCAATATGTGTGTGTGTGTGTGCTCGTTCTTAGATGTGCTTCCAATACTTAAAGGCTTTTTAAAAAATGTGTATGTGCGCGCACACACACACACACACACACACACACACACACACACACACACACACTTTAAAAAGCCATTAAGTCTTGGAAGCAAATCTAGGAGCATTTAGTTGTACAGTTTTGCCCTATTTTGAGTTGCTTTGAGTACATTGTTGGTTTGAGTACAGTGTACATTTGTTTTGTGCAAACAAAATCACATAAAATCCACATTTCCTGTGTAGCATTTCTATTGTTTTGGTTGCATTTGAATTACACGTACAAAGTCTGTGTTGCAAAATTCCGAAGAGTGCAGACTTTGGCATACAAGTAGGTTAATTGTGTTTGGCATCCAGTGGGGAATGTGAGACTTCTGTTGGCTTCAGGACCACATCAGCTTTATGCAACATATCAAAGGCCTCACATTTCAAGGTTGGCCAGACTCTAAGCCTGTTTTCAGAAGGGATTTCAGAAGGTTAAGAGGGTGATACAGATGTTTTTAGCATTTGTAAATGGCAATGGTTCGATTAACAAAATGCACAAAACCCAAGCCAAACTACATATACAGGATTTTAATGCAGAAACAATAACATATATTGCCTTTGTTTGCTAGAGGGCTGTACTACCCTTGATGTGGCACACAAAGACCATTTAGATCATGGGTGTCAAACTCGTGGTGTTATGTTGCCGTCACGTGACGTTTCACGATGTTTTTCCCTTCGCAGAGCTGGGCTGGGTGTGGCTTGCGTGTGACGCATCCAGCCTGCAGGCCGCCAGTTTGACACCCCTGATTTAGATTTTTTTTAATCCCCACCATTATTGTTTATAAATAAATTAAAGCAGTGTACATACCTAACGTTCCTTCCTATTCCAATGTAGGTAGGACCAGGATCCTTTGTGTAGCATTGGGGTGTTTAATGGAGAAATTGGTGCCTTAAATCTTTATGGGTTTTAACCAGGGTGGATAAAAATCAATGATTTTTTTTAAGAAATAAAAAAAAAATCAGATTTTTTTGATTTTTATCGAATTTATTTTAATAAAAAACTTTTGGGGTAAAAATCTATCGTAAGATAGTTTTCTATTTAAGATACATAAATAATTTAGTTTATTCAGCATGAAATGGAGCTTAGTTATGTAGCATATATTCTGCAATACTGGGACTATCGGTGAGTCAACAGTGGGTCAAAGGAGTAGCAGAGATGACAGTTGTTCTTTAAAAATTATGATTTAAATTGAGTTGATTTAAATCAAGCCTTTTTACTAGTGATTTAAATCATGATTTAAATTGTGATTTAAATCAACTTGATTTAAATCAAATCCACCCTGGTTTTAACTAATAAATGGTTCAATAAATCTGGGTCTCAACTTCCCTGGAAAAATGCTGAGAGCCACAAATTAGATGAACATGGACCAGTCATAGTGTTCCTTCGATGAGTGCGAGTTCAATGAGTGAACTAGCTTGTGATAAAAGCTAGCGCAGCCTGATGACTACAGGTAGTCCTCAATTTACGACCACAATTGAGCCCAAAATTTATATTGCTAAGTGAAAAATTTGTTAAGTGAGTTTTGCCCCATTTTATGATTTTCCTTGCCACATTTGTTAAGTGAATCACTGCAGTTGTTAAGTTAGTAACACGGTTGTTGAGAGAATCTGGCTTCCCCATCGACTTTGCTCGTCAGACGGTTGCAAAAGGTGATCACATGACCCCAGGACACTGCAAATGTCATAAATGTGAGTCACTTGTCAAGGATCCAAATGTAGATCACATGACCATGGGGATCTGAAACAGTCGTAAGTGTGAAAAATGGTCATAAGTCACTTTTTTCAGTGCCGTTGTAACTTCGAACGGTCACTAAGTGAGCTGTTGTAAATCAAGGACTACCTGTATTTGGAGATACTTTGTCTAATGGTCTTGTTGCATTCAGTTCAGGTGAAAGAGAAAAGCAGCCAGTAAAAAAAAAAGGCATCTAAGTCAGTGTTTCTCAACCTTGGAAGCTTGAAGATGGGTGGACTTCAACTCCCAGAATCCCCCAGCCAGCGCTGCTGGCTGGGGGATTCTGGGAGTTGAAGTCCACCCATCTTCAAGCTTCCAAGGTTGAGAAACACTAATCTAAGTGAATGACAATAGTTTCCCCCCCAGATAGCATAATTTAAATTAACTTTTTTTGTTTCCTTCTTTTCATTGTATAGTGAAGATTGACAAAGAGAAACAGCTGGTGGTTTTGGATGAAGAACATGAGGTATGTCTGTGTAAGAGGCAGAAGTAGCTTTTTGCTTTGCCAAGCTTAAATATATAAACGTTTTGTTTTTTTGCTAAACATGTTCTCAGTAGATACATTATTTATATATGTATCCAGCCAAAGAAAAATAAAGGATATTCTTGCACTAAACTAACAGGTCATCATAATCTGTTTTTTAAGTGCTGGTCGTTGACTATAAATACAGTTTTAAAATGAGTGAAGGCTGTAATAATGTATTGCATCTTGCCTATAAAGTACGTTGCTAAAATACTAGTTGTTGTTGTGACTCCTACAGGGCATATCTCCAGATGAACTAAAAGATGAGCTTCCAGAAAGACAACCTCGATATCCTTTATCAGTGATCAGAGTAATGTTTTGGTACATAGAAACAAGATTCTGATGTCATGTTTTGGTGCCCGAGCCAATAAGTTTATGTTGTGCTTCTTGGCATAAAGCAGGGATGGCGAACCTTTTCAGCACAAGTGCCCAAACTGGAATGTGTTTGAGAGCGCCAGAAACCCAAAAACCAACTGGCTGGTGTGCATGCCTGTTTTTTGGGCATTTTTTTGGCTGTTTTTTTGGCCGTTTTCCGGGTGGTTTTTAGCCCGAAAAACAGCCAAAAAATGGCCAAAAACCAGGCCATTTTAAGGGGCAGTTTTGGGGGCTGTTTTCCTGGCTGTTTTTCAGGTCATTTTCAGGTTGTTTTTTTGACCGTTTTCCAGGCCATTTCCAGGCTGTTTTCAGGCCATTTTCCAGACCATTTTTGGGCCATTTTCAGGCCGTTTTTTGGGCTGTTTTCAGGCCTTTTTTGGGCTGTTTTCAGGCCGTTTTTTGAGCTGTTTTCAGGCCTTTTGGGGGCTGTTTTCAGGCCGTTTTTTGAGCTGTTTTCAGGCCTTTTTTGGGCTGTTTTCAGGCCATTTTTTGAGCTGTTTTCAGGCCTTTTTTGAGCTGTTTTTCAGGCCATTTTTTGGGTTGTTTTCAGGCCTTTTTTGGGCTGTTTTCAGGCCGGTTTTTGGGCTGTTTTCAGGCCGGTTTTTGGGCTGTTTTCAGGCCGGTTTTTGGACTGTTTTCAGGCGCCTGTGAAGACCAGCTGGCCGGTGCACATCTGTGTGCCGGAAACCAGAAGAGCAGCTGGCGACGGCATGCGTGACCACAGAGAGGGCTCTGTGTGCCACCTCTGGCACACGTGCCGTAAGTTCACCATCATGGGCATAGAGGCTAGAGGTTAATGAAGCTGTGCAGAGCTTTCTTAGAAACTCACTTCTGGCATTAGTGTCCAGGAAGGGAAGAGATTTATAGTAGGTGAAAGAGCTTTATTTCCAAACTGGGTTCATGCATTGCTCCAAACCAGACTATAGTTTATTTGATTTTAGCTTAGGGTGTATGTGAACCGAGCCAGCTGTGGAATATTCCACAACCCACACTTAAGTTCCCTAGTTTCCTTACCTTTAGAACACATTCATTGTCTATAGCTACAAGTACCAGCATGATGATGGGCGAGTCTCTTACCCACTCTGCTTTATCTTCTCAAGTCCAGTTGGTAAGTTAAACTCCAGTGAAGTAATGTGCAAACTGTCTTCAGTAGAAATAAAAATATGGCTGCCATTGAAGATAAAAAGTACTTAAGGATGTGTTAAAGTTTTTCATTTTGATTAGCTGGGAAAAGTTCATGTTGTTTGGCTTCTGAGTGTCATTATATTTGTGTTGTGTCAACAAATTCAGAAGATAAACAGTGCTGAAGCCTATCTCAGTAACAGTTGTAGGAACAATAGGACAAGGAGTCTATAGCAATAGCATGTAGACTTATATACTGCTTCACGTGTTTTATAGCCCTCTCTAAATGGTCTCTATAGAGATCATCAAGTGACGGATTATCAGAAAAGGGAGTGAAAACAAACACACAGAATGGCTGTAGACCTTGGTAACAATTTTGTTAGCTAATGGGGATGCAGTTGTTTTCAGTCTCACCAGGACTGCAGAAAAAATTTAAATGCTTCTTTAATGAAATTTGTAAAAACCTCAGCAACTTTGCACTTTATTGTACGTTGAGTTGATGAATAACTTTTGATAGCAATTGGATTTTGAAATGTAAGGGAATTTCTCATTCCCTGATTCCAAAATTCCACAAGACTGGAAAAAATCTAACAGGCATTCTGGTAATCCCTGGATAGTATTTAGAGGAGTTGGGAATAACAACTAGGAGTGGCATTCCCAACTCCTCTAAATATCATCAAGGAATCAGCAGAATGCCCATATTAGATTTTTTCCAATCTTGTGAAATTTTGGAACCCTACAAGAGGTCTTATGAGATCTTGTAGAAGCATATCAACATCTCAAACTCTAAGCAAGAAGTTGAAAAGCGTACAAGTTGGAGAGGACCTTTCACTAAGCCATAATGGCTTTTGTTTAGTTTGGTTTAATATATTTTGTGAAGCAAGTGGTTGTTGATTGTAAATCATGGAGATGACTTAGTATTACGTGAGAACCTTTATAAATAAAACAATAGCTTAGCACCATTGGCATCTGCAGTAGTCAAATAATGCACATACATTATGATGTCATAGCGGAAATATAATTTTGCATCATTTATATAATGACATCATGATGCACATTCTGACTTACAAGACAATATGTCAACACTGAGTATGTATTATGTTAAGGGCTAGTATGCCAAATTAACACAATGGGTGAACACTGAATGAATGTTAATGGTTTATGTACCAAATTAGTTACTTAAGATATATTTCCTTACATCTTAAATTACCATCTCTTCAGCACAGGGCTAATAATGGTCTGCTGTAATGTAAATAATAAGAATCACTCAGTAATGTGTGTAAACTTTTAAAGTGATTTTTAGAACATTCGGTAGATGCTTATTATATGTTTCCAATCTGACAAGCTGGTGTAGACTGTGGAACATATGTTCTGTGTTGAACGCTTTTGGTGTATATGAATAGAATTGGCAGCTGATGTCTTCAGTAAATATCTTTTTACTAGCTCAAAGAGGATAGTGAAATAAGTAAATGGTTGATCAGATTTCATATTCAATATGAACCTGTAGAGTGCTAGGCAACCTGGTGCCCTCCTATAACCCCTGTTAGTAAAAGATTATAGAAGCCATAACCCCAAACATCTATAGAACATGAAGTTGTGGATTTTGGTTTATTTTATAAGCATGTATTCAAGCATCTATAGAATGCTTTTCAACCTTCAAGCACAGATATATATTATATTCAATAAGCAGAAATAAAAACATCAGCCCTTAAACTAAAGCATTAAAATAAACTAAATTAAACGAAATCAACATTTCTTAAGATTTAAAACCCCAAACTAAGGAGGCTGCCACAGAAAAAGTTCTGACCTAGTGCCCACCAATACTGTACTTGTAATAGTTTTAGATATAGACTGTAAAGTATAGGCCTATTCAGAGGGCAAAAGGCAGCCTGGCCTTTTCAATATTTTCTAAGCAAATAACTACTTTATTTGTTAAATAAAGTTATTTAACAAATAACTACTGCTACTGCTAACTGAATCTTTCTTAGTGTGCAGAATTATCTAATCAAATTTTCTCCAAGCTGACGTTTTCGAGATGTGTTGGAAGACTCCAACCCCTCCTAGTTTGTGAGAATTGGTCTGATACATCTGGAAATCATTAGATTGGGAAAGTTGTTATGTTAATTTTAAAGCAGCAAGTAGGATAAGGAAAAGACCAGTTGTTTCTTGCATATGCAGTAAGAACTGAGGACAAGTAGCCAAATAGACTGACTAATGTGGTTTTATTTGTCTCTGTTTGCCTGCCTCCCTTTTTACAATTATAGGGTGTAAGCCTGAGCAACAGATGATGTATGCTGGCAGCAAAAATAAGTTGGTGCAAACAGCAGAACTCACAAAGGTAAAACTGAAACAAATCTTGGATGCATTTGTTGTGAAGTTGATGTATTCCCTCTTGCCCTTAAAGAGTCTGTCAATTCAAATTCTAATATTTGCAGGATGTGCATAATCCGGTACTTAACCAAAATTTTGATCTCAAGAGAAAACTGAACTTTGTAACATGTACTATGTAATCTTTCTGAAATTGCTATTCTCCAGGAGGGCTTCACATGCAGCTCTATGCTCATTGTCGATTTGGCTGGTTAATGTTGACCTTTATGCAAATTGATATTTTATTTGGTTTCCTGTAGCCATAGGTGGCAAATAATGGTTCTGGGATGCAAGTAGTACATCCTTGGAGTGCTCTTTGAGCATAAGTTTGAGAAACATCGATCTACAGCAGGGGTATCAAGCTCACATCATCACGGTGGCATCACGTGACGTATTGGGATTTCCCCCCCCTTCGGTAAACTGGGTGTGGCCGTGGCCAGTGCGTGATCCATCTGGTCCGTGGGCCGGGAGTTTGACAGCCCTGATCTAGAGAATAGAGAAATCACAAAATAACTACAACTGCTTCATTCACCCTTCCTTTCCAGCTGTGTATTTCTTTTTCTGCTTCAGGAACCTGGTGTATCCCAACAGATTTTTGTGGGCAACTTAGTGCATTCCATTTTTCTTGGGCTCCTTCAAGAGGCTGATGCACATCCAAAGTATTTTTGAGCACCAGTTTTCAGTATAGTATAGTGCAATATTAATGCAATATCAGGGATTTTCATTCAATCGCATAGAATGTGAAGGATGTTTTTATAGTTTTCTTATGTATAATGTACACTGAAGATGGCATTTAATTTCATTGTACAAGGTGCAATGACAAAGTACTACTACTACTACTACTACTACTACTACTACTACTACTACTGTAAAGAACTGGGCCACTTTATATTACACTTCCATATAGTTGACTTTCATCTTTTTTCCATTCCTAACTGGTGAGCGTGAGGAGACTATCCCAGGCTTTAAGCCACAGATGATCTTTGCATGACTCAGTGTTCTCCCTCATAATGATTAATGCATCCATACACAGAAAAAATTAAAATGCTGGGGACAAGGTTTTGACTTAGATTCCTCCTTGATCTGCTGTCCAAGGAAAGAATGGATTTCTATCATGTAAGACTTACCTGCAACTGAAAAGATTCTGTCTTGATCTCGAGTATCCCGTTTCTGTGGGAAATAAGTCCTAGGATCGTACCGTAGTTTGATCTGCTGGTACGCTGTTTTGAAGGCTCTGTACCGAATGGCAATTTTTTTTTTTAAAGATGTCCAACTTTAGCAGTTTCTAGGTCGAAGATAGATGATCGTGTGCTTTTTCCTGGACAAATTTATCTGCATCAGTAGTAGTTGTTGATTTCTAAAAAAGTTAAATTAAAAATGCATTATGTAATATCTGTTCCTTATTCCCTTTTGGAGTAGATGATTTCTCTTTTTGGCTTAGTACATACAGCATGCTAAACCATAATATAATTGGTTTAGGTTTGGCTTTTAGTGGGTTGTATCAACATAGTCAACTGTCGCTTATCCTTTTAACCATGTTTTTTTATTTTAAAAAGTTTTTTATTAATCATTCAAAATTAAAAACATCGGACATAGATATGACATCACTGGTTCTAAATATCTTCCAGCACTTTAAACTAATACAAATTATGTTAAAGTTAATATTATAATTCTTTAACCTTATACGTTATTTATACACATCATACTAACAATCTATATCATATTTCTACACAATTATACATACTTGTCTATTAATTTATACCTGTACCTATTTATGCAATTTGCATACATATTTATCTGTCATAACGTATATATTTCTCATCCAACACCTTGTCTCGGCTATCCTCCTTTTATCTAGCCATTCATCAAATTTTTTCCAGATTATATAGTACTGTGTTTCACATTTATCCTTGAGCTCCAAGGTAAGTCTGTCCATTTCTTTTAACCATGTCTTAATGTAGTTGCTGAAGCTCTTTTTGTTTGTTTTTTTCCTCAGGTATTTGAAATCAGGAATACAGAAGATCTGACTGAGGAATGGCTTCAGGAGAAGCTTGGCTACTTCCACTAAAAGAAGGATTAAGCATTCCATCCAATTCAAACTGGAACCAGATATGACTCCTGCTTTCTAAACCTAACAAAAATGCACTGTACTTACAGTTGTTTCCTGCAATGTTTGTATGTATGTACATATATATGTATATATTTGTCTGTGCAAAATTTATATACACGAGGGGAAGAAGTATCTCCTGCTTAACCAAACTTTGCCCAGGATTATTCCTTTCCTTCTAATTGTTTAAAAGGGAACAATTTCCTTCCTGCAGGGATAATTTTTTTTTTCTTTTTGCACATACATGACTAATATTTCTATCTGGACTAATCAGAACTGGTAATTGTTTACAACTCCGGGACAGAATCTCCAAAGGGACACATTGTGCACTAGCTCTTGTTTGTATCAATGGACTGTGTACTCAGTCAAATATTCTGGAAACTTACAGCAGATTTTTCCCCCTCTTGAGCTACAAGTGCATCTTCTTTTAATAGAAACTGGACATTAATAACTAATAACTGGACCTAATGCTATGTGAAAATAACACTGAATCCAGTGTCATGAAAACGTTGGAATTGGGCCCAATTTACTTTAGGATAGATACTTTAGTATGGTTCCTAACATCTCCAGATGGGCCTTTTCTTTTCTCTTAAAAGAACCCCAATTATTTTGAACCTTATATTTCCACTTTGGGTCAAAGGTTTAACACTATTTTTGTGTATGTAAAGGATAGCATTTTTACTAATCAAATAGAAAGTAGATTTAAAGCAACCTCTTAAGGGCTTGGTCACATACCGTAGTGGACTTCCTTTCCAAAAGTCTTTATATGTAGATCTATTAATATGAAAGTCTTGACTTTTCTGGACTTTTTATGCAAGCACTTCTCAATCTGTGTGCCTTTAAAAAAATATCTATCAAATGATTGTAAGAAAGTCTTACACTGCCATTTTTTTTAAAAAAAAATACTAAATTTGATACAGGTTAACTTTGCCTAAAAGTATCTCCCTAGTAGCGTCTGATAGCTTAATCTCTCTTTCCATTAACTTCAGCTGTAGGTGCATACACTCTGATTTATACTGCTATGATTTAAGGCAAAATGCTCTGCCTGGCTAAAAGAAAATTAAAAGTCAACACATACTCTGAGGTTAGTCAGCATCCACCACATCTCTGCATTCTGTTTCTCAATAGATGGGGCTGTGTGTGTGGGTGCCTGGATTCTTACAAATGCAGCAGAGGAAAGAAGTAATCTATAGCATGCAGAATTTGGCTTCCTTAACTACCTTGGTTTCCTTTTTGTACGTTAAATATATGTAGCCAATGCCTTCTCTGAAGCCAGAGGAATATCCATTGGGGGAGAGCAGTGTCTCGGTGTCATGCTTAACATCTTGCGTTTCTCCTTGACTGGACCTTGATATACAGATCATATACATATACAGATCAAAGAATCCCATCCTCTTTAATCAGCAGCTTGAATTACTTAGCTGCAAAACTTGATTCTCCCTTCAATGGATGATGTAAGCCAATAAACTGGCAATATGATCTTTAGAGACAGACAGGTAAGGCCTTTCCTGTCTATTGTTGTTATGGTTTACCTAGGAATGAGGTTTCCTAAGACTAGAGGTAGCCAAATGTAAACTGACAAAGGAGCAGAAAGATATGCTGTTTCCCAAACTGATAGTTGATCAAACTCTACATCGGCATGATGCACTATACGTGGATTATAACTGCAACATTCCAAAATCTCAACATTATCCTAGGTCAGGGGTGTCAAACTGGTGGCCCACAGGCCACGCGCAGGCCACACCCACCCCAGTTCCGCGAAGGGGAAAAAAAACATCGCAATACATCACTTGACGGCAACATGATGCTGCGAGTTTGACACCCGTGTCCTAGGTCATCTAGTTGGGCAAAATGTCAGATTCTGTATACCGAATCTGATACCGGTTGGCATTAATGGGATTATATCTCTGGTAATATGATTTCTTGATACGACTCTTGGAAGCATCCCCCCACCCCACCTCCAAATACTTTAAAGAGTCCAAGAATTTCTCATTGCCAGGACAAAGGAAAAAGTAGTAGCTTTTACATTTTAGTAGACCAGTTCTTGTTCATTTTAGATAAACCATGCACTGATTGGGTTATGCGTTTTGGGCATCTGAGTGTGTTGCCTAATTCTGCAAGCAGCTTACCTGCATAGAATTGGGCTGGTCATTTTAAAGAGGACAGTTATTACTGATAGGCAAAACTGCTATGCTTAAAATAACATGTTGAGGCAGACTATTATTAAATGACATAGAAAAATATTAGCTATCTTTTTTTTTTCTTTCTTTAATGGCTGTCTTCTGTCTTTGTTAGTAGGAAAATATAATCCATTTTGGGCATTTGTTTTTGTTTTATATAATTTTAAACATAGACAGTTCCCATTCTTTTCTGTAGGAGAGGGAGAACTCTTTTGTGGAGTGGGAGTGAGAGAACCATCAATATAAATATACTTTAAAAAATTACACGAATAGCTTAGGATTTTTCTAGAGATTCACCCTGCAAATAAGCCTCCAAAAATGCACACTTTAATAGTATTTCTATTACTTGATAGGATTTATTTAAAGAGCTGTTCTGAAGCTACCCTGGGCTCCTTGGAGGAGGAATATTTGCATTCACCATATAAACAGTTATTTCTATGCAAGACTTGGAACTGAGGTTCTAGTTTCTTGGGAGTTTGTGAAAGTGACTATAAATAACCTAAAGTAAAACTTGTACTCTCTGAGAAAGTAAAAACCCAGATTTTTATGTCATGAATGCTACATTGGAAGAATAAATTTAATTCAGAATAACCCTTCCAATGAATCATGTCTGGGGGAACCCTCTGTAAATGATTTTGCAATGGATCATTTAAGCTCTGGTCTAATTGTTCCATCTTGAATGGCATTACAATGAACTGCAGCTGTGTTATCCCTGAACTATTAATAGAGTACAATAGTACAGAGGCTGTTTTACATGGATATTGAGAGGGAGTCAGATTTGTTCTTTGGTTGAAGGAGGATATACATAGAAATCCTTTATGTACCAAATATGTCTGAAGATTCTTTTGTGCTTATCTGCCTTCTTTACCACTCTTTTGTTAAGTTTTTTTTAAAAACCAGTGTTTTTTCTAGGAATATTTTTTCTTAAGCGACTGACTGCAGTCCCTCATCTAAGATTATAATCCTGGGATGCTCTTAATTTGAATGTTTTTTTTCTCCCTTTTATTAGAGCAGACTCTTAATCAGCTCAAGAATTGTACTCAGCTTTTTGTGAATCATATTCCAGAGTTAGTGAAGTTTGGTTCAATTTTGGATAAGTGTCAAGAGTTTTAAGAAGTAAATTGTAAATCACCCATTTTGCCAGTTCAATACTCCAGAAAGCAGAAAAGGGGGGAAGATAATTCAGTCTTGAAGTGCTGCTAAAAGAATTGTGCCCACTGTTACATGGTGTTCCTGCGCCATATTTGTGCCCCTCTGGTGTAGGATAAAATGGAGGTTGAAGAGAGTCTGGAAGATGAATGATTTGTCAGAAGCATTTAAAAATTAGGAATACTGTTCAGTTCTCTGTAAAGTTTGGCAAGAAAAACATAGGTAGCTGAACACTCCTTGGAATTATGTTTGGTCAAAGTTGGTGAAGGAAATTGCAGGCTTGATTTTCGGTTTAAAGAGATTGAGACTAAACTCCACAATTTGGAAGCTGTTGTCTTTTCTAAGCAATTGCTTGTCTCTACCCCACCACAATATTTCATTCTGTGATGTCTTTGGGGCATTATGATGTGAACTATAGTTATTCCTAAATGGAATTCTGTTTGCAGCCTGGAAACACTGACATCTTTAGCTAATAGGAGAGGATTTTTTTCCTGCTCCTCCCCTTCTCTATTTGGATTTTGAAGGAGCAACATGTGAAGAATTTCCATCAAAACATGTAGCTGTAACAACTTTTTGAATACTAACTTGTTTTTAAATCAAATTTTCATATGGATGTTTTAATATAGTGGGATGATAAATTTCTAACAATGGTTCCATTTCTGGTCTTATTCTGGTAGTACTTCTCATTAATCTTTTATAGATTAGAATTGTCAATATTTCAAAATGAGGCCAAATACTTGGTTTTGAATTTCTTTTTTTCCCCCCCTCAAGCCTTTTCACATATTACATATATACATAATACATGTTTGTTGTAGCATATAAACAACAGGAAGATCCAAGCAAAAGGGAAGAATCACAGAATACATGTGCTTTTAATATTCACGTTGCAATTGTATGAATCAATTGTTTGAACATATTCCCCTTTTCCTGTAAAAGCTTTTTTGAACTTTAAAAAAATCATATCTTTATGCTTTATTGATAGTGCCGTATTCACTGGATAAAATGTGAAACTGGCATTTGTGAATCAATCTGTTAATCAACATTGATCAGCTTTTGTGAAAGCATGTGGGATTTAATTCATTCTTCTCTGTTGTGACCCTTTCCAGATGTGTTGAGTGGCACCAGATTAGGGAGTTGATCTAAGTGAATAGACATGGCTTGTTATGTTCACGGAAGAATCGTTGTTTCCCCCTCACTGATGGAAGGTTATGTTCTTGTGTGAAACAGGTGAAAAGGCTTTCATAGCATGCAGGGTTTTTAAAAAAATGAGAATCAGTCTACTAATAAAACTGGGTAGATTGCTAAAGTCCTGATAGTTCTGCACTATTTTATATGTTGAAATCAGATCAGTACTATATGAAACATATTTTAGGGAAATGAATATGGTACCTAATTTGGGGGCAGTAATTTGATGTGCACATTGTAAATGTACAAAATTGCAAAGCTATTGAGAAAGGATCATTGAGGATAAAGGTGAACCAAGCCAATTATAGCTCACTTACCATCCCCTCTAGTTGTACCTGAAACGTATGAGCTGTAGCATCCATAGTTCAGCCTCCCTTGACCCAACCTTCCTTTTGGGCCTTCCGCATAGAATTCTACAATCCCAAGTATTTTAGCTAGTATATTTGTTGGAAATTCAAGGGCATATGATCTGGAGGATGCCAGCTGGGGTAGGCCATTAGTTCTGGTTCAATATATTGTTAACTCTGCCCACAATCTAGAGTTCGATCCTGAGAGACTCAAGATTGACTCAGCCTTCCATCTTTCCGAGGTCAGTAAAATGAGGACTCAGAATGTTGGGGTCAATATGCTGACATTGTACACCACTTAGAAAGTGCTGTAAAGCATTATGGGTAGTATGGGTAGCAGTATGTAAATCTATTGCTCTTGCTAGAATCTGGTTGAATAACCTACCCCAGTTGGCACTCTTCTGATATATCCAGACTCTAGGTCCTTGAATTTCCAACAGGTATAATTCATTTTTTTAAAGTAGCTTGGAATTCTATCCCCAACACATCTGGAGGGTGCCACGTTGGAGAAGATAATGTGCATTGATCGCTGGAATATCAGTCTTTTCTAGCCAATCTGACAAAGGCTGCAGATTGAGCCCAGGACTACTCTTTCTTGCTTCACTCAACTCCCCTGTCCAAATTGTTAGTGAGGATATTGGTCTCTTTACAATAATATATTACCAAGTATTGACTTAATATAATTAAACATTGCTAATGCTGAAAAGTTATTCTGTATGAGATAAGAGCAAAGTATTTTATAGAAAGGAAAATGTACCCAGATCTTGAGTGGCAACTGCAATATGTACTTTTATTGTTCACTGAGCAGATTGACTGACTGACTGACTGGAGAAGTCCTGACATTTCTGTGAAACTATCCAGCTTGACAGGTGTTGCAGTGATTGGGGTATTTTTTAATGTTCTGCTTAGTTGATTTTGCATGTTTTTTAAAATCATCATTTTCTTTTTGTTTGGAAAAGCATGGAGCTTGTATTGGTATCAATGATCATACAATGTTAATAAAACCTGTCAAACTCCCTGTCTTCTATTTTTAATGTGATAGAATAAGTTTAAAGCTGGGGGGAAAAAATCCCAAAGGTAGCCTGGCAAAAAGAACATATAACCTTTGAACAAGAGTTCTTCCTATCAAGGATCTCCCCTTTGACAATAATTTGATTGGGCTTTGATTTGATTTGATTGATGGGGTGCTGACCCAATTTGGGTATATATAGTTAGCTTTTGACAAACGAGGAAGTTAGCCTCTGCTTGTATTGAATACAAATTGCCATTTCTTCTATCCAAACCATTGAAGGAAGTATTTGTAAAAGAAAAAGACAGGCGTTCAAGTCTGCAGAACAAATCTGGCCAGACTATTAGTTTTTTAACTATTAGTTATTGTCCTGGTGGTATATCAGGCTCATTTTTTGCACATGCTCAGGAGAAAATGTTATTGAGGTTTCAGGCATTGAATACAGGCTTTTAAAGAAGTTCTGGGACCAATTAGACTCATCTGTCATTCTGATCTGGGGGTGATACTGAATGTTTCGATTTATAAGTGGGTGACGTTTGCTAGGAATTCAGGGAGGTGAATATCAGATTTAGGAAGATCTGAGCACCACACAGGGATGTAGCTGGAGATCAACGTTTACCGTAACTAACTCAGAAAGACATCTTGTGAGATACAGTGGGATATTCCATGTGAAAACTTCAGCATGTTTTTCCACAGTGGAAAGATCTAGAAAACAAGCTTGTATTTCCAGAGTTGTGTTGTTTACCTGAGTAAAATATTCTGTGTAATTTTGAGGGCTTCATCTTAAGAAATCAGTACTTCGTTATTTACAGACATAATCCACATCATGAAATTATTGGTCACTGGATGTGGTCATCAACAATCTAAAAAAGAGCAGATAAGTCCAAAGAAACGAAATGGATCTTTTATGATCTTCCTTGGAACACTTGGGCGAACAACACAATAAATAGGAAATCTGGGAGATTACCTCTAAAATGTTATTAAGAAATGCTTTTACATGCATGCAAACAATCCCTCCCCCCCACTGATTTCCAGATTTGCTATACCAGAAGTTGATCTCAAAATAATTGGATACTGAGGAAGTGCCACTGATTCAGAAAAAAACTGAGATCACCTTTCCAGAAGGTAATCTCTCTTCACCCTCAAAAAGTTATATTTGTGGCAGGTGCCTGATGGGCAGATCCTACTTCAATTCCTGTTCCTTGGAAAATTGCTGGCACACACTCCAACCATGAACTGTGGATGACTGAGAATCTCTACAGACCTTTAGCTATACAATGGGATGAATACCCTTTGAATGGTCTGGGAGTAGGAATGGATTTCCAGAGGAAAAATTGCAGACTACAGGAACTACTCAGGTGACCCTGAGGACACAGATAAACCTCCAAGTGCTCCAGGATGCAAATTACCAGCTGTCTACAAGGAATATAAATCCTTCTGTTCCCCACTATCCTGTCAGAGCTGAAGAAACTTCTTGGATGAGAAACAAAACGTCTTCAAAAAAAAAAAAAAGCAAGAAAGTCCAGCTGTCTCCTGAAAATGCACCTTTGGGACAACCATGACCTGGACGACTGAGAATCTCTACAGACACTCACTCCAATAGCCCCAAATAACTCTTTCCAATTAATAAAACCTATTCACAAGCATGATCTTTCATGAGCTGCAGTCCATTTCATCAAATGCGTGGAACAGCTAAATGATGCAGGATTTAAAGTGGGATGAGTTGGGGAGGAAAGTGAGGAGAGATAGATTGAGACAAAGTGACGTTTGCCCAGCTTTTGCAGTATCAAGACATGCTGGTTAGGTAAGAAAATGCCATTTTAAAAAAATGGAAGTCATTCACATCAAAGGGGTCTCACCTTTCCTACCTAAAATGTGTGTTTATGGAGAGTAGGAGAGAAGGTTAGAAAGGGAGGAAGGAAGGAAGGGGGGGGGAAAGGAAGGGGAAGTAGAGAAGGAGTAGGAGAGGAGGGAAGAAGAAAGTAGAAAAGAATAGAAGGAAAGGAAGGGAAGGGAAGAAAGGAGAAGATGAATTGTTGTAAAACAAGGGAGATGAAATGGTAGAAAGGCAACCCCGAGCATATTCAAATTTATTAGGATGAAGAACGAATTAATAAAGTTATAAGAAAATATATATGATTAACAATGGATAAGATAACTAATTGAAATAATGTCAAGAAACTAGGATTTGAGAGTGGATGGTGATGCTATTTATATAATAAGCACAGAAGTATTAAAATAAAAAGGTATGGAAAAAGAATATTTTGACAAAAATTGTAACTATGTAAAATGAAACTGGATATGATAAGTTGTATAAGATATGATATGGCCAATACTCTGTTCATAAAAGATATGTGTGTGTGTGAAAGAAAAAAATCAAGAAAACTTGATTTAAAAAAAAAAGATACAATTGATTTTTATATTATTAAACAGAACTGGATTTTTAATTTAATCAAACCCCAAGGAGCAACTTTTAGTAACCATCCATCCAAGACTGGTATAAACTCATTCCTAATAAAACATATGGGAGAATCTGGGCAAACACAGGACAAGCCCTTTTTCCTGGGGCTGGCAAAACGATTCTAAGTTGTAACGGAGCCAGCTAAATGTCCGCTTCCTAACGGTGGGATCTGCAGGTGGTACAGACGGACGTGACACTCTCCTCGGTGCAGAAGCCCACGGTCACCCGGGAGTAACCCCCAGCAAAAAAAAACCCCGCTCTCCTTTCCATGCATCCTCCCGCTAACGTTGCTATTCCGCGAAAGAAGCGGAAAACAGAGCGCTGGACGCCGCCTCCCTTATTATAATACGGGTGTCCTGCGTGAAACCCACAATCCCGCGGATGCGAATAGCAAACAATCCCGGCGTCGGGAAAGGAGCCACGTTGCAGTTCCTCCGCCGTCCAGAAGTAGCCGCTGCGGCGCGGAACTCCAGTCTGCGAAGGCGGCGGCGGCTTCTCTCCCGTGTGCGCTTGCGCAGTGACGTCGAAAGCGTCTGTCGCTCCCCCCCCCCTCCGGGGCCTCTGCGGCCACCCTGAATGATCCGGCCCAGAAACTTCCTCCCGCCTCGCCGTCGGGCCGGCCTTCCTTAGTGTCAATCGCCGCCCCCGCCGCCGCCGCCGCCGCCATGGCGTTCACGTTCGCTGCTTTCTGTTATATGCTGGCGCTGCTTCTCACCGCTGCGCTTATCTTCTTCGCTATATGGCATGTGAGTGCAGGAGAGGCGTCCTGGCATCCCCTGGAAATCCGGGGCGGTGGTCCTAAAGGGAGGGAGGGGCTAGATGTGGGCAAGGTGGGCTGCCTGGAATTGAAGCGAGGGTGGGGGGGGGGGGGCGAAGAAAGTCCCCCCCCCTCACTTGGGTCGCTTGGTTTCTTCTGGAGGGTCGAACCCCCGAAGGGGCCGCTGCGGTCGTGGCGCCACGACGGAGAAGAGTCAGGCAAGGGAGGGAGGGAGGCACTGCGGGGCTCCCCCAAATTTCTACTTTGCATTTCTGCTGGCGAGGCCGGGAGGGTTTGGGGAACGTGGGGAAGGTGGGGACCATGTGCGCAGCGGGCACGTTAAGGTCGCCCTGGTAGTTTTTCTGCAATTATAAGGCGTGACCGTAATGTAAGCATTGCGTGTACAGGAGTGTCATCCTGGTATCCTTTTTTGTGAAACTGGGAGGAAAAAAAAAAGCGCAGAAAGGGTTATTGGTGCGTCTCGAAGCTCAAGTTTTACCAAAGGAGAAAGGAGGAAAAAGCATGTTAAGAAAGATACAGGGAGTCCTCAACTTACCAATGGAGCCCAAAATGTAGGTTGTGAAGTGAGAAATTGGTTAAGTGGGTTTGCTCCATTTTACGACTTTCCTCGCCACGTATGAAATAGGAATAGAATGACTTTATTGTCACTTTGAATGTACACTAATCGGCATACATTAAAATGAATTTTTGTTGTATACAGCTCTCAGAGGGTCACCACCTCCAATATACACGACATAACCATGACAGAATAAATAAATAAATATAAAATGATGTATATGCCCACATATATTATATGACACAGAGAAACAACACTGTCTAGTTTGGATGTATACATGTACATGGCGAGAAAAAAGAATGTTGCGAGTTTTTACCAGACGGATGGGATAAGGAATAAAGCTGTTACAGAATCGGGAAGTCCTGCTAGAAACACTTACTTTGTTAAGTGAATCACTGCAGTTCTTAAATTAGCAACAAGGTTGTTAAGTGAATCTGGTTTCCCCATTGACTTCGCTTGTCAGGAGGGCGCAAAAAGGGATCACATGACCATAGGGATGCTGCAGTGGTCATAAGTGTGAAAAATGGTCATAGTCACTTTTTTCAGTGCCGTTGTAACTTTGAACGGTCACAAAATGAACTGTTGTAAGTCAAGGACTACCTGTGTTATAGAGCCTGGTGAAAGTGAATAGGGAAAAAATACTTCTCTTTTGTAGTGTGTTTAACCCCTTAGGGAAGTTAAAAGGGTATTTAAGGATTGGTTTTATAGCCCATGTTTTTGTTTGTGGGATATTTAAAGTGGTTAAACTTAAAAAAAAATGCCATATATAGAAAAGGTTAAAAATAGGACAGTTAAAACTCAAAAATAAATTACTTCCTGAACTCATAGTTAATTAGTACAGGTAATTAGAATTTCATAGTACAGGATACAGGTAATCCTCAATTTATGACCACAGTTGAGCCCAAAATTTCTGTTGCTGAGACATTTGTTAAATGAATTTTGCCCCATTTTACAACCTTTCTTGCTAAGTGAATCATTGCAGTTGATAAGTTAATAATACAGTTAAGTGAATCTGGCTTCCCCATTGACTTTGCTGGTCAGAAGGTTGCAAGAAGTAATCACATGACCCTAGGATGCTACAACGGTCATAAGTATGAAACAATTGGCATAGATTTGAATTTTGATCTCATGATAATGGGGATGCTGCAAAGGAAACTGAAAAATGGTCATAAATCACTTTTTTCAGTGTCATTGTAACTTCGAACGGTCACTAA